TCAGCGCCGCATCCGGAGGCGGCGGGGCCCGGCGCGGCCTGTCCACAGGCCCGGGGTCGCGAGCGCGGAGCTGGCGCTTGCACAGGGACGGGAGAGCTCCGGCTTCCTCTCTGAGACAGGATCCGCTGGCCCCTGGCTTGCCCCAAGGCCAAGGCCCAGAGAGCCGGCGCCGCCCCCGGGGCGACAAGCCTGAAGGCCCCCCCTGTAGGGCTGGCGGGGCCGCGACGACGAAAACTGAGCGGCCGTCCCTTTAAGGCGAGGCCTCAAACTGTCCAGCCCCCGGCCCCTTTAAGACGACTCCACCGTGTCCGGCGGGTCTGGTGCGGCGGCGGCCCCGTGCCAGGGGTCGAGGCAAGTCTCCCGGAGGAAGAGGAAGGGCCACCCCTTTAAAAGGGGCGGAAAGCACAACCTCCCCTTTAAACGCGTCTCAAGTCCTCCGGCTGAAAGAGGCCACCCCTTTAAAGAGTCCGGAGGCTTTCAAACAGCGGGGCCGTCCCTTTCAAGAGCTCGCAGTCCAGTTCCCAGTCCGCCACCGGCTGCCACTTCCCCTTTAAGGGGAATTTAAGGAACTTCTCGCGTGGGGCAGGCGGGAGGAAAACTCCGCTCGCCCCAGTTCTTCCAATAGGAGTGTCAGCTTCGGCAGGTTTCCCCTTTAAGGCTGGCGTCGCAGTCGGCCAAGTTCGGTGCCCACCCCTTTAAGGAGATTTAAAGAGGTCTACGCCTCCGGGAGCCTTGAAAGGTGCAAGGGGGCGGAGCCTGCCTTCCAAAGCCCCGGATGTGAGGCAACGGTGACGGATGGAGCGTCTCTCCCTGTCCTCCGACATAAAAGACTCTTCCTCCTTTCCGCCGTCCCTGACTGACTTGTGTCGAGAAGGATCCGGAAAGGCCGCTGGGCCGCGAGGAGCTCCACTGTTCCCTCCTGTTGTCCTCGTTGGAGTCTCGGGCCTCCCGTCCGCCAGAACTTCCCTGCCCCTCCTCCCTCTTCCTCCTCAGCCAACGCCTCCTTCCTCTCTCCGCCTCCGCCCACTCTCCGCCTCCTTCCCCCTCCCCGTGGCTCAGGCGTTTATAGGTTGGCAAGTAGACGTCAACGCGGGGGGCGGAGCCGAGGTCGCGGGAGTGCCGGATGTAACCGCCCCCAAGTCTCTGATTGGCTGGTCGGACTAGCCCCGCCCTCCCCAGGTCCTGGGACCCGACTGGTCCGAAGTAGGCGTTGGAGCGGTCCCGTAGGCCGCCCGCCTCTTCCTGCTCTCCGGTGATTGGCCGCGGCGCTGGGAGGCGGGGCCTGCAGTGGGAGGGCGCTGGGCGCTGGCAGGCGTGCGGCCGGCCGCGGGGCGCTTCTCCCGCGGGTGGGCGTTCCTTCTCTTTCCGCCGGTTGGCGTTCCGCGCAGGCGCGGGGCGGCAGCACCGCCTGCCAGTCTTGGGGCGGATCGCTCGGTCGCGGCGTATCGGCACCCGGAGGCACGCCGGGCGGGGGTCCGCGCTGGGCCGGAGGTCCGGCTCCTGTTCCTGCGGCTTCGAGCGGTGCCCTTCCCTTCCAGTGCTCAACAGTGAAACACACCCTGCATTCGTGTGTGGAGTACTTTCACGTGAACTCACTTGGTCATGAGTGCGAGGTAAATATTTGCTATTTGCTTTTTTTCTTTTTCTTTCCTTGTTTTGGTTTTTCGAGACAGGGTTTCTCTGTGTAGTTTTGGTGCCTGTCCTGGATCTCCCTCCGTAGACCAGCCTGGCCTCGAACTCAGAGAGAGAGAGAGATCCGCCTGCCTCTGCCTCCCGAGTGCTGGGATTAAAGGCGTGACCACCACCCCTGGCTGTTTGCTCCATTTTTATCGAGGGGATCTGTATACAAGCAGCCAGCATTCTAGCTCCAGGGTGAGGGCCCTGGCCACTGTCCGGCCTTTATGTGACTCTGATCTCTGGTTTTTTAATGTATCATTATTGTGTGGGGTCGGACCTGATGTGTGTAGGGGCGAGTGTCATATATGCAAGCCGAGGCTTGAGGACAACTTTGTGGAGTCTTACCCCTTTCAACTTTTTTGAGGGTGTTGGGGATCCACTTCTGGTTACTAGGCTTATGTGCCAAGCACCTGTTATCAGCTGACTAGCTCACTGGCCTGGCTGTTACCGTCATGTGGACATTTCCCTGACAAACTCACCTTGTCTTCTCGTCGAGGAATTCCCTCGTGGGGCTTGTACTGGTCCAGTGTCTGCGGTAGGCTGTCCTGGGTGGGTGATTACAGCATTTGGGAGGAACTCCAGGCCTTAGCCTGTTCCACACCTTTTCATCTCTGTGCTGTAATTGAATATGCATGGGGGCATCTTCTGGTTTGTTTTTTCCTCCATAAATATCACCTCATAAAAGAGTTCTCAAGAGCATTATCTCTGGGCTGGAGATGTAGCTCAGAGGTACAGCAGTCTAGGTTTGATCCCCTAGCACTGCCTGGGATGAGAGTGGGGTGAGGAATCGCTGTGTCTACCCTCCTGTCTGCAACCCTTTTTTCAAATTCTCTGGCACTGTTCCCTTTCTCTTCTCCTTTGGTGAGCAACAGAGAAACGTGAGCTGGTATAACTAACTGATCTAAACTCTGCTGAAGACACAAAGGAATCAGAAACATATTGAAAACTTTATAGAAATATAGAGAAAAAATACAATTGATCCAGAGATTTACCCCCTCCCCGAAGGATGGATGGACAAACAGTTGGAGCTCCTAGAGCTGACAGGGATGTTCCCTGTCTGTCTCCTCCTCCAGGAGCAAGGCATCTAGCTCCTTCAGCCGCTCTTGCAGCAGAGGTCCCACATCCTGACTGGGTGCCCGGCTGGGAGTAAGGGTCCTGCCAGCTGCGGCGCGGACCCCTCGTGACGGTCGGCGGGACCGAGGATGGCTGCTGTCCCGAAATTCTACAGCCCGTCGGAGTTTCTTAGAGCTGGTAAAAATCAGAGTCCCATTGCGCTCCCGGGGTTCCTCAAAGATGGTCTCAAAGGTCCTGGGCCAGGCAGGGAGGAGAAGTGTTTACCAGCATGCTCCCTGGTTCAGACAGCCCTCTACTTCCCCCAGACCTTCCAAGTTTCTCACCTTCTGGCTGTGGGCGATTGGTAATTCTTATTGGTATAAATTTCTTCCAAAGTGAACTCCTTCTTGTTTAACCTGGAAGCAGGAAGCAGAGGGCACTGAGAAACTTTGAGCAGGGAGGCCCTGAGCAGGCATGGGTAAAGCCTGACTGAATTGCAAGAGTCAGAAGTGACATCTGAGGAAGTTATAAGCACAAGCCACATCCTTGCTAAACTTAAGCTTCCAGGCTGGACTACACTCCCTGAGAGGAGACAAGGCTGTCTTCAGGAATAGGAGTTACCGAGGCAGCTCCCTGCTCTCCGAGCCTCTCACCTGACTGGTCGAGGCAGCCCCATTGGCGTAAGGTTTGGTTGTAGACGGACAGGTGTCCTCCGTATTCTGAATCTAGAAACCTTTCCCATGGTCTGCAAAAATGGGGCAGAGGGTCACAGAAGGGCACGGACTCCGGCCTCAGCTCGCTCCTGTCTCTGTCATTACCTTGGTCTCTGGGTCAGAAAACACCTTGTCCTTTGAGGCTTTTAACTCCTTCCCCTTGGTTGAACCCAATCTGCAGAGATGGTCAACAGTCAGGGACAAGGGAATACACACAGCAATACACCCGTCTGCTGTCACTGGTTATTGAGCAAGGGAGGCCAGGCTCAGGCTGTGGCCAAGGCTTCCAGAAGGGTTTATTGAGAGCACTACCTGGGTTCTGCTGCTTCGCAGAAGAAGGAAGTGGATGCAGTGGATGAGCAAGATGTAGTGAGAGAAGATGAGGCTCCCACTCCTCCAAGAGGGAAGACCTCTTTCCGGAGACAGGGCCGAGGAGGTGCTGGGATCCGGGCCATCTCCCCACAACCCACAGTATGTCTCCGGGGCCTGGACTGGCTTGGCTGGGATGGAACAGGAGACCAGGTACAGCTACCTGGGCCAGGGGGCCCTAGATCAGGGCAGGAGTAGCTTCGGCCCAGAGATAACTTAGGGACAGATGCTGGGGAATTGTCCTGAGTCCGCCACTGGCGGATAGGGGGCCGGGGGCTGACAGATGCAATTCTCTCAGTAGCCCTGGACTGCTCAGCCTCTGAGATAGCAATCTTCAACTCCAATTTCATGGGAGGTGATGGGGGTGGAGGCTGTGGTGCTTTGTTAGGCGTGAGGAAGATGTCAGCGAAGCTCTCAAGCTTGGATCGGACGGAACGGAAGAGAGGGGCCAAGCCCCAGGGACTGAGACGGGGGCGTAAAAGGCTGGACGGTGGTGGGGTCAGTGGGGCCTCCAGAGCAGGATCTGGGGCTGAGGAAAGGAGAGGGTCACAGGTGGGCGGGCATTCCTCACCCTCGGGTGATTTAGCACCACCTCACAAGCCTCAGTCTCTTCCCCAGACACTAACCTGCCTCTAGCTGAGTGAACCTGCTCCTAAAGTCCTGTAATTAGGATTGCCTAACACGCTCTGAACCCTGGATTTGATCCCCAGTATTGCAAAGCAAAGCAAGAACCCCTCAAGTCCCTGAGGTCCAAATCCCATTTTTGTACATCCTGCTCTGCCCTGGGAAGGGGTTAAATCCCACCCTTAGTTCTGCCCCTGATGTTTTAAGCTCACGTTGGCTACTCCAGACTTTTGAGTCTTACTCCTCTGTTCAAGTCCGTACCTGGTAGTGGGCTCTCTGGAGGGTCAGCAGGCAGAGTGGACGGCTGGAATGGAGGTTCTAGTTCTCTGGCTGCAGGCATTGGCTGATGAACTTTTGTCATAGGCTCAGCTCTGGGGTGAAGGGACAAAGTAAGAGTTGGGGATGCTTCCAAGTCCGGCTCCCTCCTGGGCCAGTGCTTCCCCTGGCCTTGAAGGCTTCTGAAGGTGCTATAAGGAAGGAGTAGACAAGTAACTCCTGATGCCCCCAGCTCTAGATATCTGGTGATAGCTTTGATAATCCCTTCCCCAGCCCTCTTACCTTTGTGCTGGGACAATGAAGTTGGGCCTATCTTCAGCAAAACCCTGGATATAAACAGGGAGGTGTTATGAAAAAGCAGGAAGCCATCATTGGCCTCCCCAGCTTCCAATGTCCTAACTCATTCCCCAGAGGTCTGTTTGGTTGTACGGAAAAGATTTTTTTCTTATATGCTTTATTCAGGTAGTTTATTCTAGCACAAAAAAATGCTGTCATTGCGGTGGTGGCACAAGCCTTTATCCCAACCCTTGAAAAGTAGAGGCAGGCTCTACATTGGGCCAGCGTGGTCTACACAGCAAGTTCTAGGCCCCCCAAGTCTACATAGTGACACCCTGTCTAAAAAGAGGGGGAAGGGACTGGAGTGATGGCCCAGCACCAGCAGTTAGGCACTGCTGCTCTTCCAGAGGACCCAGGTTCAATTCCCAGCACCCACATGGCAGCTCACAACTGTCTCTAACTCTTGTTCCAGGGGGCCAATGCTCTCATATATGCAAGCAAAATGACAGTGCACAAAAAATAAAAATAAATTATTTTAAAAAATTCTGTTGTCCTGTTTTACAGAAATCCACCCCCAGCCTCATGCTTGCCCTAGCTCGACCCAGCTATCTTACTTTCTTATACCTCAACTGGCTGTCTGGGACTGGCAATGTCTTCCAGGACCACCACCAGGGTGGGTTGGGTGACCTGGCCTATCTTTTGTGATGGGCTCTCTTCTGGGCCAGGGGCTGTCCTTGACCTCATCCTCGAGGTGGGAGAGGAGTGGTGGATGCGACTCAGGGGCTCTCGGCACAAATGCAGTGGGTCAGGAGGCCTAGAGGAAGAACGGGAAGATGAGTGGGCCCAGCTGCATCCAGCTCACTCCCTCTCCATGTCACACTCACCTGGCTTCTAAGTCCCACTCGACCTGCTGGGGGCCCGGTGAAGCAGGTGACTGTCTGCAGACAGAATCCTGATGATTGTTGAGATTCTTTGAGCTGGACGTGTCCTCTTGGTATGCCAGGGGGACCTAAGAGAGGAAGAGTCGTTAAAAGGAAGCCAAGCTGGGCCCATGCCTACAATCCCAGCACTTGTGAGACTAACACCAAGAGGACTTCGAGTTCCAGGCCAGCCTGGGCTAAAAGGTGAGACCCTGTCTCAATCAGACAAAACAACAAAGAGCAAAGCAATGGAATGGGGCCAACTGGACGGGACCTTCTGTGTCTCAGTGTCCCCAGTCACAGAGGAGACGGATTTTGGCTAGAATCCACTCAGATCCCTAAAGGAAGTGATTTGGGCTGAATTAGGGGTGAGGTATTAGAGTCAGGAGATACAGGTGGGAAATGTAAATGTTCTAATCTTCAACCCAGGCTCTGAAGAAATGGAAAAAGAGGCGACAGTTTTCTCTTATCATGTAGCCAAAGACACCACCAGCATATTTCCCAGGGAGACAGGACAGTCAGAAGAGTTTCTCATTCCTACTTAGTAGGATATGGTTCCACTCAGTGGAGGGTAGGGGAGGACAGACAGACTAGTGACCCCAGAATCATGCAGAAGTCTTGCATTAAGGAGACTGCCTTGAACGCTGGCTTTAGAGATCTGGTCTAACTTTAGTAGGGAGCCTGGGCGGGGGTGGCGGGCAGGGA